TATTATATACTTGTTTGACCTCATGCTAATTTAAAGTTGTCGTTCAAATATAACTAGGACTTTAGCCTTTTGGCCATTTAAACTCCTAAACGTAAAATCTATAATTATAAGAAAGCAAACTGGGACATGATTAATCGTGAATTATGCTCGATTAATTGGCAAGTCCTAGAATGCCTAGATCCTGATTCGTCTTGGAAGTTAGTTAAAGACTGCATTATGAATTTAGTTGATATACATATTCCTAAAGTAACTATTAAATCAGAGTTTCAACCCCCGTGGTTCGATAGTGAACTTTTTTCTTCATGCCGTAAAAAAGATAGACTCAGAGCTAAATTTAAAATTTCTGGTTCTATTTCTGATGAGTTAAAGTTTGTTACTAGCCGTAAAGATTTTAAGAGGCTTTCATCAGCCAAAATAAGAGACAATCTTTTCAATAGTGATGATCCAGCGCTTATAACTAAGAAGTTTTGGTCACATGTTAAGTATAAATCTAACTCTTGCCGTATTCCTAATTGTGTTAGTTATTCTGGACAGCTTCGGTTCAAACCCAAAGCTCAAGCTGAACTTTTTAATTCCTTCTTTTATAACCAGTTTTCGGATCCTTCACTTTATGACACTGATATCTCCTATGTCAATGATGTTGATTTTGATATTGACTTCGATCATCGGGATGTTCGTAAGCTTCTTTCAAATATTAATTCAAATAAAGCCCAGGGACCAGATGGCATACACGGTAAAATTCTCAAAAATTGTTCCGTAGGTTTAGCTTACCCTCTAACATGCATTTTTCGTGGATCTTACAACAGCGGTTACATTCCACAAGAATGGAAACTTGCAAATGTTGTCCCAATATTTAAGAAAGGTAAGAAAAGTGAGGTTGAAAACTATAGACCAATATCCCTTACTTGTTTAGTCATGAAAGTTTTTGAGCGCATTGTTAAACGTAAACTGCTTTCTTTGACAAGTACCCTTCTTGATCCCAGGCAGCATGGTTTTCTAGAGCACAAGTCATGCACAACCAATATGGTTGACTTTTGTGATAGCCTGGCATTGTCTCTTAACGAAAACATTATCAATCATGTTGTGTATTTTGATTTTGCTAAGGCATTTGATTCTGTAAATCATGATATCCTTCTTCATAAGCTAAAGACCTTATATAACATTGATGGTACACTTCTCAAATTTCTTACCAATTACCTTCAAGGCCGTTACCAAAGAGTGGTTATTGGTAATGAGATGTCATCTACCCTCTCAGTTAATTCTGGTGTCCCCCAGGGCTCTATTCTTGGTCCCTTACTTTTTGTATTGTTTATCAATGATATTCCTCTTGGCCTTTCGGATAATACTGATATTGTTTTGTATGCCGATGATACAAAAATCTGGCGTAAAATACATTCATCTTCTGATTATACTAATTTACAAATGGATATAGACTATCTCTCTGACTGGGCACTAAGAAACAAAATGCGATTCCATCCAGCAAAATGTAAAGTGCTTATTGTTTCAGGAAAACCATCTTTATCTCCTCCATTCGCATATAATCTTGATGGCTCTCCTCTTGTGTATGTAGAGTTAGAAAAAGATCTTGGAGTTGATGTTACTCCTAAGCTAAGTTGGAATAGTCAGTGCGACAGAATTTATACTAAGGCCTGCCAACAACTTGGTATGGTCAGAAGAGATGGCCATATTGTCATTGATCAGAAACGTCGCCGGGCGCTTTACCTCTCCCTGGTTCGTAGCCAATTCGAAAATTGTTCCATAATCTGGCGCCCTTGTAATAAATCACTTAGTGATAAATTAGAAAGTCTCCAAAAGAGAGCTATTAAATGGATTCTGTCTGAAGAGGGCCGCAGTTATCCACCTGAGCAATATGTCAAAAAGTGCAAGCTTGTCGACATTCTCCCTTTGTCTCAAAAGTTTGACTTGAATGATCTTATTTTTTTCCACAAAGTTCTTAACAATTTAATTCCTGTATCGCTGCCTCACTATCTCTCTTTATATCAGGGCACTTCTCGACTAAGACGTTGCCACCTCGACAGTCTGTCTATTGTGTCATCAATTTTACCTAAGTTAAGTCAGAATTCACACACCACATGTACCTCAAATAGCCCACTGGCAAAATCATTTTTCTACAGAACCCATATACTGTGGAATGGACTCCCTTTACAGGTAAGACAGATTGTGTCTACTAGTCTTTTCAAAGCTGAGGTCACTAAGCATCTATGGAAATGTTTATTGGATAGTGAAACAACAGTCTAGCCTAGTCTCTTTGCTCCCCATATTATTATTATTTTTGTTTTATTAATTTTTTTATCTACCTTCCTATACTTTCAACATCATATCACACTTCACCCGCACACCTTCTCACACATTAATGACCATTTCAGACCTGTATCTAATGTATCTGGAATTTGACGTATTGAAATTCCAATTTTGACTCTATATCCACAGTTATTCACCATGGATTTGTTTGTTATTAAATAGTTTTTCATAAATTTTTGGATTTAGATTAATTCGATGTAATGGGTCCAAGTTACTGCGGACATAGTTCACTATGTGTTTACCGTGTTTGGGTGCCCATCATATTTTACAGATGGGGGCGATATTTTGAACGATTCTATTTTATATTCATCTATTGCTGTACTCTGTAAAATTTGAAAAGTATTTAATAAAAAAAATCAATATATCTGTTTCGGTTTAACTATAAAGAGCACAGTTTTATCTATTTTTCAGTCAAAAAAAAATTTCAATTTATGCCATTTATTACAATAAAAATTAGGGTAAAACAGTTCAATTCGATAATTGGGTTAACATTATGTTTTGATTTAGTATTATTTGGGTTATAAAGTTAATTACAACGGAGTATTCTGGATTTGGCGATTACAGATTTTGTTAATAATAGATGTTTTCATTTGAGAGAAGTATTAGGATGGGAATTTAGTTCACCTAGGTTTATAATTGCTGGGTTATAAGATGTCACATGATAGTTACCTTTACAATTTCTAAAGTAATAGGTAAGATTTGAATATTGGCTCCCCGAAAATTATTAATTACTTGTTCAAAGCATAAAAAATGCACTGCAATCAAAAGTGAACTTTATTCAAGTAAAAGTTAAGCGGTAAACTCTTAGACCGTTTATTAAATGTATATTTATATGATCAAGTCATAGTGCTCACGTGATGCCCATATAAGGAGTGTCAATTTGGTTTTGTTTAAAGTGCACGGATGAATTGTGGGTTTGTAACCGATAACAAATATTTACGTTAACGGATGAATATTAAATTATAATGTCCTCTTACCTTCCTACTCGGATATCAACGTGTGAACAATTTAATTAATCTAGCTGAATGTTAATTATCAAAACATGAAATGAATGCATTGAAAAAGCTTCACACCTAACACAACAGTAGATATTTGGGTCGCCTGATAAGAGACTGCCAGTTCCAAAATTAAATCTTATTAACTGGTTATCATTTATCAAGTGGCTGCTGATCATCTATTAACGGGTTGTTATAAAGTTATAAACCGGTTGCTAACCGGTTGTTTACCGGTTATTAATTGGTAATTATTCTGCTTTCAACCGGTAATTAATTGGGTATTAATTGGCTATTAACCGGCTATTCGCCTTTAACTAATTAGCAGTTAACTGTCTATTAATCGGTTATTAACTGGTTATAAACTGGCTATTAACCAGCCATTAGGCGGTTATCAACAGTCTACTGTACACTCTTACAAAAATGTCACCGTCAGAAACGATGAAGGTATGTTGATTAGTAAATTAACAAAATCTTTTCTCCTGACATTGTAGCTCCACCTGGTGCTGTCATCATTTTGCCGCCAAATAAGCCACCAAACATTATTAGTATTAGTAGAAAATGTAAAAGAACCAATGATTTGTGTTTGGTATATTTAATTCACTATTAAGCTATTATACTACTATACCACAATATAACCAAGATTCATATAGCGTTTCAGTGCAACGTGCTGTATTAATTGTAACTTGCTGTATCTACCACGCCACCATCATGGCGTATTATTTACTTTTAACTTAGGAGAAACAGTGAATGGTACCTGATTCCTTTCTTTCCAAATTGTTGTTTAATGAGAACTCGATGATTATTTATGGTTTGTAAGACTGATCTATAATCTAGTGATATAATTGATTTATTTGCATACCATAACAAGAAAAAAGAATACATTGTAGTAAAAACTCCCCACCAATATTCAGCTTCACTTGAAAACTCGGCGGTAATATCGAGTATCAAAACAGGAAATGAATGCATTGAAAAAACTTCACACTAAAAAACTTCACATCAGGAGGGTCAAAGGACCGGCGATTCTAATTGAAGAGTCCTACTCGGATATCAACCATATCAATGTGTTACAGTAAAACTGCATACCATAACAAGAAAAAGAATGCATTGTAGTAAAACGTCTCACGCCAATCGTCAGATTCACGTCTCTTGTATTTTAACTTATAAGATCTGCAGTTTTTAAACCCTCATAGTATCTGCACAGTCTGTTAAGTATAACTTGCGTTATTTCATTATCACCAGCGCTTTGCCTGGGGTTATTTCGAAGAAATTTAGACCGTATTATTTGTGCAACTCACCTCGACTTGTATAAAATAAACATTTTAATTTTAAACGGTTTTTCGACCAATAACTGTACCTCATGAACAGCAGGTGATAATTGGGGCTAAATTTACGAGTAACAAGTATAATAAACAACTGCTCAGATCTTCATTTTCGTACCTTCAATTTCCACGTTCAGCCTCTATTTTTAGTTTACGATCCAGTCTCTATTTTTAGTTTACGATTCAATCTCTATTTTTAATTTACTATTCAGTCTCTATTTTTAGTTTACGATTCAGTCTCTATTTTTAGTGATCCGCTCCCCGGTACAAAGTTAGGTTGTTTTCGTAAAGTTTGGACTGCTCACATGATGACAAGGTTTATTTTACGCTTATAATTTAGGCATACTTTAATAACACCTATAATCTATATAATTACAGTATTATAAGTACAGTACTTCACATTACAGTACTTCACGGTACAGTACTTCACGGTACAGTACTTCACGGTACAGTACTTCACGGTACAGTACTTCACGGTGCAGTACTTCACGGTGCAGTACTTCACGGTGCAGTACTTCACGGTACAGTACTTCACGGTACAGTACTTCACGGTACAGTACTTCACGGTACAGTACTTCACGGTACAGTACTTCACGGTGCAGTACTTCACGGTGCAGTACTTCACGGTGCAGTACTTCACATTACAGTACTTCACGGTGCAGTACTTCACAGTACAGTACTTTACAGTACAGTACTTCACGGTACAGTACTTCACGGTACAGTACTTCACGGTATAGTACTTCACGGTGCAGTACTTCACGGTGCAGTACTTCACGGTGCAGTACTTCACGGTACAGTACTTCACGGTACAGTACTTCACAGTACAGTACTTCACGGTGCAGTACTTCACGGTGCAGTACTTCACGGTGCAGTACTTCACGGTACAGTACTTCACGGTACAGTACTTCACGGTGCAGTACTTCACGGTGAAGTACTTCACATTACAGTACTTCACGGTGCAGTACTTCACATTACAGTACTTCACGGTGCAGTACTTCACGGTGCAGTACTTCACGGTGCAGTACTTCACGGTACAGTACTTCACGGTACAGTACTTCACGGTGCAGTACTTCACGGTGCAGTACTTCACATTACAGTACTTCACGGTGCAGTACTTCACATTACAGTACTTCACGGTGCAGTACTTCACAGTACAGTACTTTACAGTACAGTACTTCACGGTACAGTACTTCACGGTACAGTACTTCACGGTATAGTACTTCACGGTGCAGTACTTCACGGTGCAGTACTTCACGGTACAGTACTTCACGGTACAGTACTTCACGGTACAGTACTTCACGGTACAGTACTTCACGGTGCAGTACTTCACGGTGCAGTACTTCACGGTGCAGTACTTCACATTACAGTACTTCACGGTACAGTACTTCACGGTACAGTACTTCACGGTACAGTACTTCACAGTACAGCACAGAACTTCACATTGATACTCCGCCTCCCCCACTATTACCTATAGACATATACTAAATACTTGGTGTACCTATACACTTGAATTGCTTGCTTTATACCCATCACAACCTCACTAGTCACTACTTGTCAAACATTTACATTACTTATAACATGTCCTGAACAGTGAACACGTGACCTGAACACGTGTCCTAAACACGTGACCTGAACACCATTGTTTAAGATTTTGAGCGGGATTATTTAAACGAAATGCTTGTTTAGCAGGAGATTTCAAAGTACACGACGTGTAAATCGTCTGTTTAATTGCTTAAGATTGTTCATGTTAACTACCAATGTGTTTCAGTAGGAAGCATAATACTGTTGTATTGCTCCTTTTTAATATACTGCTGTGTTTGATACAGTATTATAGCTAAATGTGTAGTGAATGTATAGTGTAATGTTTTCTTTGTTCAGCTTATACTTATAGCGTTCTACACGCAGGCTTGTTCTGTGGTTCACCTTTGTTGTGAGCACGTTTTGTGCTAGTGGAAGTTAGTTTTAGCTTTTTTTAATGGTCGCACGTTTTGCCGTAACCCAATTACAAATGACTGAATTATGTCTAGTGTTGCCATGACTTAGGAATGATGGGGGCCAGAGTAAGAGTCGACAGTACATATTGTGTTTTAACAAACGGATGTTACTGGTGCAGTGGAGTGCCCGAGCTTTGCAAGAGGTTCCAATGTTATTAAATCTTAGTCAGAGTGTTTCTCAGTCTGCTCAACAAAAGATTATGATTAGATTACATCAGTTAGTCGTATATAATCTGACTGTTATATCACTAATCATCTTCTCCCGACCCCGTGATTTTGATGGCTACGATCACGTGACAATGACTTATCAACCGTTTCTCACCATGATGCTGGATTCTGAACCAAATCTGCGATAGAGTAGCATAAACTGGTTTGTACAGAATACCGTATCAAAATGGAACAGGTTTATTGAAAAAATTGATCTTTTGTTTACTTTTCCAGGTTATCCGTTATACTTATATAGCCTGTAGAAATCTGGGTATAATATTTATATTTCTTAAGTCGCACAATACAATGATATTACTCATAATATATAACATAATATAACATAATGTAACAGAATATAACATAATATAACATAATATAACAAGTGTTACCAATATAACTAAAGCTGTACAATTTGATGATAACAATCACTTTAAGTGTGACACTCATGTTTGTGATTGGACGGATCGGTGTCACGTGACATAACACCTCTATTACAATTGGTCGCTCGTTGAGGATCACGAAGCAAATCAGGGCTGCCCGTCATCATATCAGAATAAATGTAATCCAGTTGTTAGTATGATTGTTATATTGTGGTGTTCGTAACCTACCTTCATTGTGTGTCTTTTGACTTTGTTATCATGCTCTGCTCTGGAAATTGTGATAGTAATTAGTACCTGTTCGATTTGTTTAGGATACGATCTCCTTGTTGTTATGTTACAGGATCAGAATGTTCGTGAGGAACAGTCACCAAAATTGAGTTGCTTACCTGCTGTGTGTTTTCGTACTCTGGTCTTCACTCAAGTTGCAAAGCTGCAATAAACGTATCGCAAAGAACATTTATATCTGAAAATTGTGTTAGTACCAGTTTGATCAGTTAAGGTGAGGATTGCCTCGATCTTTCGGTTTCAGCTTAACTCCCTAGGCCGTCATGAGTAGAACCGAAGGATCAAAATATATGTTGCTTGTTGCTCGTATCAACTATAAAACATCAATTTTGAGGGATAAGGAAGTGTCTGAAACCTAGCTAAATCGATTTTCGTGCAATTTTAGGTCAGAAACAGTCATCAAAATGAGTTAATAAGAAGGTCGATTTCTCGATTATTTTTGAGCTTTCGTTTAGAAAATAATTCGGGGCCTTCAAAGGGGGGTAACAAGAAGGCGTTACAAGTGTTACAAGCGTTCCATAATACAAAATATGTATCACCTCTTCAACCCGCCAAACAGGGGCTTACCCTAAAAATGTATACAAACATGTATCACCTCTTCAACCCGCCTAACAGGGGCTTACTATTAAAGTAAACAAACATGTATCACCTCCCCGCCAGTATCCACATCTATAGAACACTCCATTTCACGATTTCCAAATAGTTGAATGAACCCTCCATTTTGCGCCCTCCATTAACTCATTAAGATTAATGCAAATAAACATACCATTGTACGAAATTATTCCTCTATAATTAATAAAACTTATTTATCCAATTATGAATCATATTCCTTCTCCCATCACGTGACCCTACCCTCCAAATTGACAAACTGTTTACCGTCCCGCTACCCATCATTCCTTCCTATGGGCTATGTGTCTTTAATTTAACTTATTAAGTTTATTCGACTGTTTGCTATGTTTTATTTTACTTCTTCAAGATTGCTAGAGTTGATGAGAATTTAGGAGCACTTTTTACAACGACAATATGAGGTGCTTCGTGATCTCATCTTTGATAGGGTAAGAAATACTGATATATATGTGTCTTTTCTCAAATAAAACACATTTTTCTATTCAAGTTAACTTAATTAATTAACACTTTGAAGAATAAGAGGTTCGGGTATATATACCCGAACCTCTTATTCTTCAAAGTACAGGGTGAGTTGAAAATAGTGTGTAGAAAGTAAATGGCTCTAATTTTTTTGACAAATGAAATTTCCACTTAATTTTTGCATATTTAGGTAATGAAAATATTTAAATATTATAATAATGCAATAAAAATACTTAATAAGTATTAATTTGCTCAACCCATTGTCCTTTATTGTTGATAGGACATGTTGATAACGTGTAAGACAATTGTCTATAGCCGACTTGACTGTATTAAGGGGGCGGGGGGGTCTTCGTGGAAATGTTCTCAAAATCGACTTTTTAGTTGTTTCTGATAGAGGGGAGCAATATCTATCAGATGCTTTTGATCCCGTGGAAAAATATCGTTCCTAGCCGAAATTAATGCCGGTCAAAGGTCAGCGCGTGTGTGGTAATTGTATTGCGCGAGCGATTTTTGATCGCGTGCCCTGAAAATCGAGTCTAAAAATCTATCTTCTCATACATTTTTTGAGAAATCACCCTGAAACTTTCAGGATATGTTCTAGGGATCATTTAGAAGAGATGAGCCCGACAACATTTTGAGATAGGCCTTTAAACATTTTTCATTCGATTTTTAAAATCTTGGACCTCGTTTTTTGATGGTTTTTCGAGGTCCACGATTTTCAAAATCGAATAAAATTTTTTTAAAGGCCTCTCTCAAAATTCTGTCCGGCTCATATCTTCTAAATGATCCCTAAAACATATCCTGAAAGTTTCAGGGTGATTGCTCAAAAAATGTAGAAGAAGATAGATTTTTAGACTCGATTTTCAGGGCACGCGATTTGAGAACCCCATTAGGACGAATTTACGAATTTTTGGAAAACTGCCAAAAATCAACCAAATTATGAGTTAGAATCAAATGAGAGGCAAGAATGAAATTTGTAACGTTTATGAACTGATAGCAATTCACCTTTCAAAATTTGCTCCTTCATAAAAAATTATCGATTTTTACATTCTACACACTATTTTCAACTCACCCTGTATATATACATTTTAAATAAAAATTAGGTTGAGTGGACCGTCCCAGTGTATTCATTTTCCAAACAAAAGGAAATGATCTATCAATTTAAATAACTTACTCCGTAACGCATGGCTTGTGCCGCGTACTACCTCCTATCATGAATTATGAATGAACAGACCGACGTTTTACAAGCTAACCTCTCTAAGTCTATAATCTATATACCGTGCCACTCTATATCGAGTACCTCGATATATCGGCCCCTTCTTTTCCCCAAACTTTAAGTTAATTAGCTAGTTTTGTGGAAGAAATGTGATTTATCATAATAGCTCTTATCGAATTTTGTGTCGACTACATGTTGAGCTTTATTCCATGACAATACCACACAATTGGAACCAAACACAAGGGCTGTGTTCGCCAACTTCGTGTTCCCCGCCCTCTTGTTCCCCGCCCGTATATTCTCCACCCTCTTGTTCCCCGCCCTATTATTCCCCGCCCTCTTGTTCCCCGCCCTCTTGTTCCCCGCCCTCTTTTTTCCCGCCTTCGTGTTCCCCGCCTTCGTGTTCCCCGCCCTCTTGTTCCCCACCCTCTTGTTCCCCGCCCTCTTGTTCCCCGCCCTCGTGTTCCCCGCCCTCGTGTTCCCCGCCCTCTTGTTCCCCGCCCTCTTGTTCCCCGCCCTCTTGTTCCCCGCCCTCTTGTTCCTCACCCTCTTGTTCCCCGTCCTCGTGTTCCCCGCTCTCTTGTTCCCCGCCTTCGTGTTCCCCGCCCTCTTGTTCCCCGCCCTCCTGTTCCTTGCCCTCTTGTTCCTTGCCCTCTTGTTCCCCGCCCTCTTGTTCCCCGCCCTCTTGTTCCCCGCCCTCTTGTTCCCCGCCCTATTGTTCCCCGCTCTCTTGTTCCCCGCCCTATTGTTCCCCGCCCTCTTGTTCCCCGCCCTCGTGTTCCCCGCCCTCGTGTTCCCCATCCTTATGTCCTGTACCCGGCACAATAATGTAATACTCTAATGGGGTATATCTGATTTTTCCTTATACCGGGTTTATTCTATACAATGCACTTTTATTTTCCCCGAGATGCCTGGTATATTATAGATAGAGCTATAGAGGTTAGGGTATACTTATAATCGGATATAAATCTTGTTTCTTCTAAAAAAGCCATGGTGATTGTTAACCTAATATAATGTTGCTAAATTTTTCTACCTGCAGTTTAACGCTGGTGCTTAATGATGGTGTGAGAACTGAGGACACAGAAGATGTTGAAACTGTGAAGGAAAACCAGGGTGAGTCACTGCTCTGAACTGTGAATTCTCTAAAATAGTACATACTTAATTACGGTATCTCCGGAAAAAAATGTTTTCCAGCTATCTCAGAAGATTGCCTTCAGCGCCCTCTACTCCTTTAGTTACCTCAAACTCCTTCAATTTCAAACTTTATATAATATCTAACCATCTTCTTATACTTACTTGTACTTGAAAAGGTCGTTGGAGTGGCCTGCACCACATAGTAACTCCTTTCACCGGTGTATTAGACCTCTCCATTGTACCCTGTTTGTTGCTCGTTGTTCTGCATCTTCTATCCTGATGTTATCGACACCTGTGAAGATTGCTGCATCCTCTTGGACACATGACAACCAGTTTTTCCGAGTTTTACCTCTTTTACCATGTTGTGGGATCCAGTGCAGAGGATAGTTGTAAAGTAAAATAAGGTGTAGCGACCAGACTAATCCTCCCGGGGCGTACCAATGGTAAACACTGCCTGCTCACAAGTACTACTCTCTACACACTATACTGACTTAGTCGTCCTGCGACAAATCCCCACAAAACCCTCGATATAATCAAGTATCGAACGCTAATCTAACACGATAGGTACGAGATTTTAGTATCGTACGGGTACAGAGAAGGGGAACAATCTGAAGTACTGTAATTGAAAAGATATAACAAGGGTACGATAATGAAGTGTCGTACACGGATACTTACAAACCTCTAGCTCTGCAAGCAACACGTGCTGTGATAAATGAATAATACGATAACTCAAGTATCGGTAACTATTGTACTTTAACTCTTACAGGCTACTGAGTGCCGTATTACTTTCAATATGATCGAATGACTTGATCGGATCCTAAGTAAGGTATGAACAAAGGAAACAGTGTATTCGTACAACAAGTTTCGAAACGTGATAAATTACAGTCAATCAATAAACGGAACTAGTCACTCGCCGGCCACGTTACAGTGTTTTTCAGCAGCGGTAACTTATTTAAACTGCACCTAGCAAGCCACCCAAAGAACTGATTGTAACGGGGCAGATGAGAATTACCAGCACTGCGTTACGCGGCCACACTTGGCTCAGTGTGTCCAATAATATAACCTAACTAACTACCCTGACTACCGCGTGACCTCCAAAACCAATCCTAATCTACAACACTAATCTAATCTAATCAAACACTAATCATAGGGGTTTTAATTCACTAAACTACAATATCCTAACTAAAATATCACTACACTTAAACTGCTGAAACCAGCTTCCACATTACACTATATCCCCCGGGAAGATTTAATCGATTTCGTCAATATCTCAAGGTATTGACAAATTCGACCAAACCTCCCCCTACTTACTAAAATCCTAAAATACTAAACCATTAAATCTCTAAAGAAAAATAAAGAAGAATGCACGTATAAACCCTCACGTGACTAACACTAACCCTAAAATCCCACGTGCTAACCTCACCCATGTCCAACTCCATACACAATTAAAAAAATCTACACGAATGCACCTTACGTGTGAAACTGAATTAAAAAACAAATAACAAGAGTATTATAC